ATCGAAAGGTTGCTATCTTATTTATATATAAATATTTGTTTATTTGGCAGAACAATCCGCGAAAATCTTATTACTGACTAGTGAGAAAGGCTTCTTTCTCCCCAACCGGAGTCTCCGTGAAGATATGTAGTTGAAAAAGCTGTTTGGATGTAATGTGAAGTTCTTCAACTCAATTCAGTTCTCAGTACTATTATATAATTGGTATTGTTATTTTTAAGTTCTTCTCACACTTTTTTTCTCTCTTCACAATGAAATAAGTACTGGTGTGAAATGGTCGTTGTACTTTTCTTATTGGTTTTTGTGGATGATTTGGGTTTAGCCGCCGGATCGACACACACTGTATGCAATCCGACGGCCCAAACCACCTTGGGACACTTTATATGATTATAAGAGATGATGTCAAATCGGCCATATACATTTGTATCCCATAATTTATCAAGTGAAGCTAAAGTGGTGGGGGGCAGTTCACACTATTTTAATCTGTATATGTTCAAACAAATCTCTGCGAAAAAAAGCTCATTCACGATTACGAAGTAGAGATAATGGGTCAATCTTGGTTTCCCTAGCAACCATGTTCTTTATTTGTGGCAAAAATGACAAGTGTTAGGTTATATGACAACATAAGTTGTTGAAGTTTTCTTGCAAAGTAAAATAATTTTTGAAAAAAAAAAAAGTTGAAAAAGAAAAAAGATGATAGAAGATGAACCTCAAGTAATGTTTCATTCCAAAATCGTAGAAAGAGTGACCATTAGACTTATAAATTAAACTCTTTTTTCTATATAAACGATGCGGGACAACTCACAAGTGATATTCTAACAAATACTGAGCATGTTGTATGAAAAATGTGCGGAGAAAATGGTTAAGTTTTACGCGTGTGCACGGTTGTGTTGTCCGCGGGGACTAATGTTATCCTAGCTAGGATTGCTTAGGATAATGAAAATCATGATTGTAGGCAGGTTCAGTTTCTTTTAATTTTCTTGCGAAAACTACATTGGCCGAGAAAATGGTTAAGTTATTATATCAATGACTTGTTGAATTTTTTCCTTTTATCTCACACCAACATTCATAGACACATTTGATGATTTAGCATCATGTATAATCTCATGTTTCTGCTTGTTCTCTATAATTCAAATGATGATTTGGGATCTTGAAAGTTCTTGCATACTTATAACTTATGAGTATCTTGCAAAATGTATCTGCAGCAAACAAGTTTAACTGCGTGAGGGAGCTAAATTTCTTGCGACGAATGATTAAACAACGATGACAATAACCGGAAGATTAAAAACTTCAAACATCGTAAAATCGGACGACTACAAATTTGTTTATTAGTTATTATACTTGTTTGACCACATTGATAGTTCTAACTAAATATCAGCTGATCTCTTTCAAGTCACATCTTTAGTCCCTTCAACACATTTATTTTGAGCCCTTCATCCTTTGTTCGGATCTTCTCATTTATCGATTTCGCCTGCAACAAAAAATGAAACAATTAAAAAAACGAAAACATGATAACCGACATTTCCCTACGACTATATAAATTTTCTTCACAAAGTAACCCCAAACAGAGCTTCAATTATGAAAAACAGAAACAAACATCGGGGCTACTTTGAATTTCGGAAGAAAATACTCGAAGCATATCATGATTAGGCTCTTATATACCAAGATTCTATTTTGCAAATAAACTATGGGGAAAAAAACTCCAAGATCCAACATAAAGATTGAATCTGATGTTGTTTATATATCTTTTACATGGTTCGAAGTTTGCAGTGCACTTTTCGGGCAGCTGCATAGCCATGGCCCGATCAACGCCAGAAATCGGGGGCCCATTAACAAGCACACAAAGACAAGGTTGCCCAAGAGCCTTGACCGAGTCACAGCAAGACTCGGTTGGAGGACTCGGGCTGAAAGGAGACACAGCTGCCCGGCAAGGTATGAGCTGGACGAGTGCCGAAAAAAACGTGCTCCCGCATGGATGAGCCGTGCTTTCCTGCACAAAACTAGCAATCACAAGCACAAATATCATCAAAAAGGGGAGGGTTTTTGAGTTAGAGAGCTTCATATTTTGGATTAATAATGTGAACAAGATATATTGAGTGTGTTTAATGTCTTTCTTTTAACCACATATATGTTTGTATACGTGTATATATAGGCTCAAATCGGCTGGTTTTACGTGCTCTTTTGTGTTTCTCTCCTAACTCTGTAACACACAAACCACACTCCATTAATGGACCTGTCAAAACTCATGCTGTGCATGACTTTCTTTTATGCATAACTAAACTTGTTTTGCTATTTATTGATACTTTTCTTTCAAAAGAACCATACTTATAAAACAACAAAAGGCGCATCTTGGAATGAGAAACATAAATTAGAGAAAATTAACTAATTTTCAAGAAAATTATATCTCGGTAATGTCTCGAAATCAAGAGCAATCAATCAATTATCATGTGAATAATATTTATGATAAGTAAAAAAAAGTGAACATTGATATACAATAAGAAGCTAAAATAGAAGTGAAAATACGAAATGGAGTAATAAAAAAACAAGCTTTGATCCATACATAAGAAAACCATCAATTTAGAAACTATGTTCACTTCCACATATGTTAAAGAGGGTGAAATCAATTACCAATTGGAGTTTAATTAAGAAGAAATTCAACATCAAACGAAACAAACTTTCAGAAATTCATATTTCATTAGATAATAAAATTCGCCAAACAAGCTACAAAAGACAGTTCAGATACTGAAAAGACCAGATAACAACCGATATACAAAACCAACCATCCCTACTACAGATCCAAACATCAGAAACCCAGAACGAGAACGAGTCAACTCAGCACAAACAACTCAACCTAAGCCCGCTCACCCCTGATCCTCCTCGCAAGCTGGATATCCTTGGGCATGATGGTCACCCTCTTGGCGTGAATCGCGCAGAGGTTGGTGTCCTCGAAGAGCCCGACCAGGTAGGCCTCCGCCGCCTCCTGCAGCGCCGCCACGGCGGAGCTCTGGAACCTGAGGTCGGTCTTGAAGTCCTGGGCGATCTCGCGCACCAGCCTCTGGAAGGGGAGCTTGCGGATGAGGAGCTCAGTGGACTTCTGGTACTTGCGGATCTCCCGGAGGGCGACGGTTCCCGGACGGAAGCGGTGTGGCTTCTTCACGCCGCCGGTGGCTGGGGCGGACTTCCTTGCGGCCTTGGTGGCGAGTTGCTTCCTGGGGGCCTTGCCGCCGGTGGATTTGCGGGCAGTCTGCTTGGTGCGGGCCATCGGAGATTGGTCGGAGAGTTGCCGGAGAAGGAGATATGTAGATATTGAGAGATTGATTGTGTAGAATTGATTTGAGTGTTGTGAGAGATGCTTTTGGTTGTGGGGTTTGTTATATAGAGAAGATGAGAGCGGGAAGATTGGGATTTTTGGGGATGGTTTGAAACTTTTTGGGGTTGAATGGGAGCCGTTGATTTAGATTGGACGGTGAGATTAGGGGTTGCAGGTTGACGATCCGCGTTTTGTGGTGATAACCAATGAGGTAGCGCCACGTATGACAAATGTGGGCAGCTTCTGGCACCAGTGTTTTTATTTGGGTACCGCGCTTTTGTTTTGTGAATTGGGACTTCGGAGTGTGTTTGTTATTTAATGAAATGTTTTAATTTTATATAAAAAATATTTATTAGTCGAATAAATTTAATTTATATAAGAAAATATGTCGAGCGTATTAATTTAATTAATATAAGAAAATATGTCGAGCGTATTTGACACAATATATTAAACATTAAAAATGTAAACTTACTTAATATATTAGAGGAAATTATACCACCTACCATCCAAAGCAATTTTATTTGCACATTTACTAATTATTTATTTTCTTGCAATTATACTAACTATTAAATTTTCTCTTTCCAATTAAAAGTCTTGTGTAATAACTTTTAAACTGTAAAAAAAAATTAAAAAAAAAAAACTGTAAAAAATGGGATCGATGGAAACGAAGAAAACGAGATTCGATGGAGGCGGGGAAAGCAGGCTCAATTCTTAAAGGAGGACACCAGCGGCAGAGGCGAAAGTCTATCTCGATTCTCGAAGGTGGAGGTCGGTATCGATTATCGAAGGCGGAAGCCGGGGGCGGAGGACGAAGGCGAAGGTCGGTCTCGATTATCGAAGGCAGACAGAGGCAGAGGTTGGATGAAGGTCGAAGTATCAGAGAGGATAGCTGAGATTGAGAGAGCGAGAGCAGTTATATGGTCGAAATATCGGAGAGGCTTCGCGATTTAAAAAAAAAAAAAAAACTGGTGATGACAATATATGTTGCGTAAATGTTCAATATATTATGTATATATTATGTATAAACTAATCCGGTATATTATATATATATATATATATATTGTATATATTACGAACATATCGTGTATTTTGTGTTTGATATGAACCAATCCGTGTATATTGTGTATATATTATGTATATATTCTGTATAAACTAATACGTGTATATTACTAAAAGATCATGTATCTTTCGTATCCTGTATTTTGTCAGAGATTGTACGCTTTAAATTCAATTTAGGAAAAAATAAACAGTGCCTTAAGATGATGATGATCCATATATCCACTTATCTTTTTTTTTTTTCTCTAACAGAATTACTGTAGGGAAGTGATTGTCTGGAGGTGGATTCCTTTGATATCGGCCGATTTCAATTGAGCAAATAAAAAAAAAATGCACTTCATTTTGGTATGAACTCGTACGAATCCCATGCGATGCACGGGTAAGAAATATTTATAAATTAAAAATTCTTATTAAATAATTTTATAAATTAAAAACATGGAGTCAATATATAAAATAACGTACCTATATTAACTTATTGAAAATATTATATACAATTTAAATTGTACAAAATTACATTAAAAGTGTCGTTTATTTAAGATTAGTACGCAATCCGCGCGTTATACATAATTTAAAATAAATTATATTATATTCGTTTCAAAATATGTGTCATCTCAAAATCTTAATCTGAAATTCGATTTGACTATAATGTGATTCCATAAAATAATTAGGGGGTGATTGTTTACAAAATAATTTGCTCACTTTTATTTCAACTCAAAATCTAACTCAACTTTAACTCAACCCCACTATCTTTAGACTATATTTATCCCAAACTCAACCCAACTCAACCTAATAATAAAAAATTATTTCTCTCTCTTCCACTTACACAACCCAACTTTTAACAACCTATATATCTTTATCCTCAACTCATCCCAACCCAACCCAACATAATATTTATTTTATTTTCATTTATTTATTTATTAAATATTATCTAAAATACATTTTTTGGTATTGTTTTATCTACCATCCAATCAAACATAATAATTTTAATTGTGTTCCAAAACATATCAAGAGTGGTCTCTATTTATAGAGAATGAAAAAATATGAATTTTGATATTTTTTATTTTATTTTTTAATATAAAATAATATCAATAATTTGAGTTAAACTTATGTTATCATATAAAATTTATACTGGACCAATAGAAATGAGACAGGTGTCCTATTTCTCTCTCCCTTTGACCAAAAGAATGAAAAAAAAAAAAGGAAGGAACGTTTCACAGGCCGAGGAATGAAGAAAAAAAAAAGAAAAAAAAATAGCGGATAGCGGCTGGCGACCCAAGGTCACATTGTGACCTGGGTCGCCCCAAATTTATTCTATTTTCATTTTTTTTCTTTTTTTTTTTCTTTTTTTATTGTGTTTTAATTGGTGACCTAATGCTCAAAGGTCACCAATAAAGATAGTCTTAATATTATTCATATAATTAAATAATACAAACCAATTATTCTTACACATCACATCAACTTTAATTCACTATTCATCCACTCACATAATTTTAACTGCCTATCATTTTCAATCATTTATCTCTTACTTTTACATCAAATCAATTTTAATTATTTTATTTTAAATATTATTTTAATACAATCTTAAAATTCCACTACAACTAACCATACCATCATTTTCAAAATTATCTATAGTTAATCAAAATAACTCAATTTGAACAAATTATTTCATAAACAATCAAGCCCTTATTTTAGTAAATTTTATCCTATATTTAAAAACTTCTTTGAATAATAAGTATAAAGATAAAACTTATATTGTTTCTTTAATTATAAATTTATATTTGTATAAAATATCCAAAATAAAATATTTAAGTAGTTGAATAAGGTTTTTTATGCCAAAAAAATCGACACTCCTTATAATACTAAAAAAAATGAACAGTGCATTTCATAAAAAAAATTACTTGAAATGTTGTAACAAAAAATGAATTAAATTGAGGCCTACTAATTATACACAAAAAAAAAAAAAAAAATGACCAGAGTTTTTTTCTATAAAAAAACATCAATACACGCATTATATCAAAATAGTTATTCATATTATTTTGTGGAAATTACGGTAATCTCTAAAAACAAATATTGGACTTAAAAAAAAACATTCAACAAATTTTCCATCAAAAAATATTTATCAAATAACCTAAATAAATTTGCTCACTTTATAATATATATTGATTAATTTATTTCCTATAGAAATAACCATCATTACCAAAAATAAATTCGGCCACTTTATACTATACATTAATTAATTCACATAATTTAAATGATTAAGGTATCTTAAAATATGGATTAATTGTTTCCTTAAATAATGAGCCGTAATTTCCATAAGTGATCATTTAATATATACCATAAATTGTTAAATTAACTTCCCAAAATAGTAAATAATTTTTTTTAGCAAAATAGTTGCTGTTTAAAAAATAATCAAATATTTATATATGCTAATAAAATATAACAGTTCGTATATTTACAATATATATTTATATTCTTGTGGTCGTTAAAAAAATTCGCCAAAACCTTTCGGTTCCACAAATTAGGCCCGATAACCTGCTCATTTGGACCCATAACTAGCGAGACGGACGTTGGGCCAGGCCTGCTTGCAAGTTGCAAGTCCAGTCTCCAGCACGTTCTCACTCCCCGTTCCCACGTGCGACGCCTCAAACGTAACGTACTTAGGAAGCCGCCACGAAATCTGGTGGCACTTCGTAAATATCACCAAAATATGAGGCTAATTAGTAAATCAGCAAGGGAAATCGCCTCAATTTATTCTATATTCGCGCCTGTTTCCTTTTCCCGCTCATACCCTAAAACCCTATCCTACCCCTCGACCTCTCTGCGCCTCTGACACTCATTTACACACACACACACACACTGATATATGTATATGTGTTTGTACACTCAACAGTCTTGAGAAGAAGAAGCAGAAAGAGTGTAGTAGAAGAAGAAGAACTAAGATGTTTTACTCGAACACGTTCTTGGCGAGGAAGGGCCCGTTGGGCACCGTTTGGTGCGCGGCCCATTTGCAGCACAAGCTCAGAAAGCCGCAGTACCTATCCACCAACGTCCCCTCCACAGTTGGTACGCAATCGACACACACACACACACACAGTTTATCTGTAATGCCCGTGTTCGATTTATAGAGCGTTTGTTTTTTTATTCTTGATTTGTGTTGTTTGGGGGTAATGAGAGAATCAGGACAGTGGAGGTGCTGTTTTTGTAATTTTTTTTTTTTTTTTTGTTTTTTGTTGTTTGTTGAGTGGAATTAAATGTGAAAAAAATGAATCTTGATTTTGTGGGGTTCGATTAAAATATTGGGTATGGATGAAAAAGTAAATAGCTTGATGCATATATTCGCGTTTGTTTGAATTGCCCGCGTTTGATTTGAAGAGTGCTTCTGTTTATTGTTGGTTTGTTTGCGGGTAATGAGAGGATCAGGAGACCAAATGATGCTGTTTGTTTTATTTGTTGATTGAAATTAAAGGTAAAAAAAATGAATCTTGGTTTGTGGGGGTTCAGTTGAAAAAAACCAGGCGTAAATGAGAAGTTAGAGATCTTTATATTTATTTTTTTATTTTTGTTAGGGAATGTTGCCTGTTTGGGTTGGTTATTTATGCGTAATCGACACACATACGTGTTTTTGCTCTTTTATAGTGGTACATTTTTGCTCTTTTCTAGTGATTTTGATTCTAGTGGTACTGTTTCACTCTTTTCTTTCATTTATATAGTTCATTGAATAAAATCGAAAGTAAAAGAATGAATCATGATTCGTACGGTTCAGTTAAAAATTATCTTCCTGTGTAGTTATCAACGTTTGTTTTGTTTCAGTTTTTATGAATCTGATTTCTGAATTTACTATAAATATGAGTTTCTTTTGCTTTTACTTTCAATGACTTACGGGCAAGCTGTTAATATTCTTCAAAAGATCCTTACTTTGTACAGGAAAAAGTAACAAGGTCTATGGATTACCAGTGAAAGTGTTGTTCTTGTCAATAATGCAGTATTCATGGAACTTCGATACTTTACGCTTACTCTAATTTTCCTTAAGCTTGGACTTGGTGTGTTTGTTTTGCATCTGTCATATACGATTCTTGATTGCCTTTCTTATATCAACATAATTGTTTCTGATCTTTAATATATTCTTGCATATTTTGTTGTAATCAACCTTTTTTCTATAGTTATTAAGGTGTACCCCGTCATAACCAAATCAATATTGCCTAATCCTATCAGTAATTCATGGTGTGTCACTGTAATGATATTTGGTCATTCATGTAAAGGTTTATATATATACCCTTTTTTTTTTATTATATTGCCTGTCTTGGTTGCCAACTTCAAACCATACGTCCATGTGTTTCCTCGATAATTTTAAAGGTAAATTTGCAAAATATACTCGAGTCAAACTTATTCTGTTTCCTTGATAATTTTAAGGTTAATTTGCAATATATACTCTCGAGCTATAGTCCAATCGAGCGAAAACACCATCTTCCAAAATCACTTACATCCCTTGATGTCATGATTTATCGCTGTCTTATGAATTGTATCATAAATGGGACATTTGTCAAGTAAATACAAAGCTCCAGGGTTCTTGTCACATTATAAGAGATCGTGTATGTAATTTGACAGATATTTAGGTTTATTTATTTTATGAGTTATGATTGACACTTGATGTAGACTTTTTAATATACTTAGTCACAGTGCCATGTTGCTACTCTTGGTGTCCTTGTACATAATTTCCATGTTCATCCATATTGTACTATGATATTTTGGTACCTTTTTCTTTTTCCAAAAAAAAAAAAAAAAATTATATCTTTCTGCACTTGCTTTGCAGAACGAATAATGCACCCTGAAGTGCCAATTGCACTGAGAATAACTGGCCATCTTTTGCTTGGAGTTGTGCGAATATACTCCAAACAAGTTGACTATCTTTACGAAGACTGCAATGAAGTACGAATAATGATTAATAGGGTCTACACAACTGTTAATGTCAATCTTCCACATGATGCGACTCATGCACAGGTTCAGGCTGTAACATTGCCAGATAAATTCAATCTCGACACGTTGGAATTAGATGATCATTATAATGACTGGTATGTAATTTTTTTTGTCAAAACCGGACTTGTAATTGTTTTTTATCAAGCTATGTATTTGGACGATTTGAAGGAGTTTTGTAATTTCAGGAGCAAGGATTCTCATTTTAAGAGCTGGGATGACATAACTTTGAAAGGTTACTAATATTGTGTTGATAGCTTAGATTATATAAATATTTAATTGGCTTTTACATTTTGAATATATTTTTTGTATTCTTATGTCACAGAGCAAATTCCAACTGGAAAAGATCCATACATTGTCATCACTTTCGACGAGGTGCGCATAATTACGTCCCTTTTATTTCTAATAATTTCATGCTTTTTTTGTAAAGCTTATTTATTTGCCTATTTCAATACCTTCTCCATTGAAGCAGATTCGGAGGGATACATTGCAAATGGAAGATAATTTGGAAACTGGGCCGACTCCAATGGACGAAGAGTATGAAATATTTTTCCATTCGCATCAAAGTTCGAATATGCCATTTTTCATATCAAGCAAATTGTAATTGCATTTTTTATTATGTGTAGTGTCCTTTTAAATGATCCCTCTTCCAATAACCAAATATCGGCTGATGATATAAATATTGAGCACAAAACTCCTCAAAAGTCGCCTAGTATTGAAATCATGCGTGATGCGGCCCCCGATTTCGGTTTCAACAATTCGCCTATACTGCCAGATCGTGCAGCTCCCGACAGATTTCTCGAGGAGCAGATAAATAAAGATAAGGAGACTTTTACACCAGCTACAAAAGAAATGCCGTTAACCGATGTTCGATTTTCATCACCTCGTAATAAGTTTCCTGAAGAAGAAGAAGATGAAAGGCATTCTCTTGGGCAGTTGAACTCCCCAACTCCTTTTGGTGGGTCATCATATTTTCTTTTTCTTCTATATTATTGGCAAAAGTTTTAAATATTGTAATTTTTTTGTTGTTTTCTGCAGTCCACCAAACTCCGGTAATGGAAATCCAGCAAACTCCAGTGGTTTTACAACCGAGAGTAAGGAAGAAGAGTCTGAAGAGAAAGCAGTTTTTTGATGAGGTCACTGTACTGAGCAACGAGTATGGTTTTCTCATTTTGTTTTTGCCGTTTTCTTTCCCCCATATATATATGTACTGTTTTCAATTATGAAACTTTTTGATCTTCTTGACAATATGCAATGCAGCTTAAAACAATTTATTCATTTATTTCATTATGTTTCTAATTCGATTAAGGCTCATCCAAGATGCTCTAAACCACACGAGTGATATCTGTCGGATTAAGAGGAACTGCCCTTCATCGTCTCTTTCCATGTGGAAATACAACAACATGCTACGATTAAGAACGAAAGATAATAAATTCGAGCCCTTCATAAATGGTCTGTCAGTATTTATTTCCCATTTGTTCATTCCTTTATGTATTTTTTATGTTGCTTTTTCTATTTTCATCTGAATGAATGAAAAGCTTACTATTTTCTTCTTCAGGAGCTTGTGACGATTTGCTAGCTGTATATAAAGAAGATATAATAATCCCTGCCAGGTTTCAACTTGACCCCACACAAGAAACCCATCAAGAAATGAATCAAACAAATAGTCACATCGAAATCGAAATTCTTCGTAATAACAAATGCCCCTCGCCAGATAGGCATATGCTGTCTTTCTCCACGGCTATTCCTTCTCCGAGTGGCAAAATTTTTTTAACTCCAGAAAACTCCGATTTGGGCTTGGGCTCGGAACGTGAAGAGGACAGGCATTTGCAGACAATGGACACGGGCCCGTCTCGAAATTTTGATTCAGATATTATGCAAACTCCCGACACATTTGACGAAATCGGGTTCAGAGCCGAGCACACGGCCCTTTCTGACATTCCTGAGCTGGTGCCTTCAGCCGGAGTATGTTTCGTTATATATTTTACAGAGTTCAAATCATTTGTTCTTTTAACTAGTATCATATAACAAAATAAAATGAAATCCGTCATCAAGGTAAAAGTGCATATACATACTTACACACGATAATATCTCTCCACATTTTGGTGCTTTTTAATGTACTTTTATGGCTATTGTGTCTGATAATGGTGTGTGCTTCCTTTCTTTCTCGATCAGGAGCTCGGTTTTCTCGAACAAGACGATTTTTCTCCACTTGGTAATATTGGCATATTCAAGATTCACATTTTGGTTTTGTGGACTATTTCTTGTGGAAATTCTTTTAATATAAATTCATTTCACTTAACTTGAATAGGATCTCAAGGAACACCCAAAGTTGGAATCTTTTCACAGTATCTTGGAACTCCGGAGCTGCACGCATTGTCTTCACGAACAAGGTAAGAATAATAAGATCTTCGTGAAATGCTAGATACACCCCTCTGAGTTTAAGCTAATCTATATCTATATCTATATCTTCTATATCTATATCTATACTACTTTAAAAGGAGGAGTGTTTTTGTAAAAATTCATAATGCCTAAAAAACCCTTACTACTTTAAAAGGAAGAGTGTTTTTGTAAAAATTCATAAAACCTTAAAAACCCTTACTTTGATATAAATTTAATGGCAAATTAGTAATACACTAATACACATCATATTTTATTTATATTTTTAATTAAAAAATGAACTACCTAAAAAACCCATACTTTCACATGTTTTTAATGGCAAATTGGTAATATACTAATGTCATCATATTTTATATCCTCCCTATACATAATTTATATAACTTAAACAAAAATAATATAATTAATATAATTACATATAAACATCTATATCTATACTACTTTAAAAGGAGGAGTGTTTTTGAAAAAATTCATAATGCCTAAAAAACCCTTATACTACTTTAAAAGGAAGAGTGTTTTTGTAAAAATTCATAATACCTTAAAAACCCTTACTTTGATATAAATTTAATGGCAAATTAGTAATACACTAATACACATCATATTTTATTTATATTTTTAATTAAAAAATGAACTATCTAAAAAACTCATACTTTCACATGTTTTTAATGGCAAATTGGTAATATACTAATGTCATCATATTTTATATCCTCCCTATACATAATTTATATAACTTAAACAAAAATAATATAATTAATATAATTACATATAAACATTCTAAAAATATACTTATCGATGTAATCGAACTGAGTTGTTAAACGTTTGTTAGTTTTTTTATCTTATTAATTTTATGTGTAAATTTGAGGTGATAGACAATAGTCATTTGTACATTTATACATGTAGATTAGAAAAAAAAAATCTTTATTATTTTAATTTTAAGTAACTTTTATATTTACTATATTAGTTTTTTTTTAAATAATGAGTGATTTCTGAAAAAAAAAAAAATTATAGGAACTAAAAAGTTCACTTGTTTAATATATTTTTAATAGAAAAATTGTAAACACAATTACTCAATAAATACTACATAAAAAATACAAGAAATCTTATATTATCCCTATATATAATTAAAAAAACATAATTTTTTCAATTCAACATAAGCAAATCAATGAAAATAATATATTTTTAAAAATTTTATGAACAAAAGTTGACGACAATATTATTAATGAATTTATGAATGGTAAATATTTAATTAAATTATTAATTAAAAAGTTGTAATTAAATATAATATAATATAGGATATACAAATATTTAATATATAATGAGGCAGATGATCAAAAAAATTATATACTTTATATTATGTGTTTTTCTGACAAATTTACAGTTAAGAATATGTGAAAAAACAATATAAAGTTTTAAAAAATATTAAATATAAGAAATAATATGAAAAATAACTAAGCTGTGATACGTACTAATAAATGTAAAACAAACTAATAAACAAAAATAATATAATTAATATAACAAAATATAAACCTTCTAAAAATATACTTATTGATGTAATCGAACTGAGTTGTTAAACGCTTATTAGTTTTTTGTTCTTATTAATTTTATGTGTAAATTTGAGGTGATAGACAATAGTTATTTGTGCATTTATACATATAGATTAGAAAAAAAAAATCTTTATTATTCTAATTTTAAGTAACTTTTTTATTTACTATATTAGTTTTCTTAATAAAATATATAAGTATCATATTGAACGATAAAATAAGAAATATTTTAATTATATAATATTTAATATGTAAGAATTGTAACTCAATTGGTAAATTAATATGTAATCTTGGGATAAAAGGAAGAGTGTTTTTGTAAAAATTCATAATACCTAAAAAACCCTTACTTTGATATAAATGTAATGGCAAATTAGTAGTACACTAATACACATCATATTTTATTTATATTTTTAATTAAAAAATGAACTACCTAAAAAACCCTTACTTTCACATGTTTTTAATGGCAAATTGGTAATATACTAATGTCATCATATTTTATATTCTCCCTATATATAATTTACATAACTTAAATAAAAATAATATAATTAATATAATTACATATAAACATTCTAAAAATATACTTATCGATGTAATCAAACTGAGTTGTTAAACGCTTGTTAGTTTTTTGATCTTATTAATTTTATGTGTAAATTTGAGGTGATAGACAATAGTCATTTGTACATTTATACATGTAGATTAGAAAAAAAAAACTTTATTATTTTAATTTTAAATAAATTTTTTATTTACTATATTAGTTTTTTTTTAAATAACGAGTGATTTCTGGAAAAAAAAAAATTATAGGACTAAAAAGTTCACTTGTTTAATATATTTTTAATAGAAAAATTGTAAACACAGTTACTCAATAAATACTACATAAAAAATATAAGAAATCTTATATCATCCCTATACTCAATTCAACATAAGCAAATCAATGAAAATAATATATTTTTAAAAATTTTATGAACAAAAGTTGACGACAATATTATTAATGAATTTATGAATGGTAAATATTTAATTAAATTATTAATTAAAAAGTTGTAATTAAATATAATATAATATAGGATATACAAATATTTGATATATAATGAGGCAGATGATCGAAAAAATTATATACTTTATATTATGTGTTTTTCTGACAAATCTACAGTTAAGAATATGTGAAAAAACGATATAAAGTTTTAAAAATTATTAAATATAAGAAATAATATGAAAAATAACTAAGCTGTGATACGTACTAATAAATGTAAAACAAACTAACAAACAAAAATAATATAATTAATATAAAAAAATATAAATCTTCTAAAAATATACTTATTGATGTAATCGAACTGAGTTGTTAAACGCTTGTTAGTTTTTTGTTCTTATTAATTTTATGTGTAAATTTGAGGTGATAGACAATAGTTATTTGTGCATTTATACATATAGATTAGAAAAAAAATCTTTATTATTCTAATTTTAAGTAACTTTTTTATTTACTATATTAGTTTTCTTAATAAAATATATAAGTATCATATAGAATAGATAAAACAAGAAATATTTTAATTATATAATATTTAATATGTAAGAATTGTAACTCAAATTGGTAAATTAATATGTAATCTTGGGATAAAATAACGAGTGATTTATGAAAAAAAATTATAGGAACTAAAAAGTTCACGTGTTTAATATATTTTTAACATAAAAATTGTAAACACAATTACTCAATAAATACTACATTAAAAAAAATAAGAAATCTTATATCCTCCCTATATGTAATTAAAAAAACATAACTTTTCTCAATTCAACATAAGCAAATCAATGAAAATAATATATTTCTAAGGTAAATTAATATGTAATCTTGGGATAAAATAACGAGTGATTATGAAAAAAAAAATTATAGGACTAAAAAGTTCACTTGTTTAATATATTTTTAACAAAAAAATTGTAAACACAATTACTCAATAAATACTACGTTAAAAAAAAATAAGAAATCTTATATCCTCCCTATATGTAATTAAAAAAACATAACTTTTTTCAATTCAACATAAGCAAATCAATGAAAATAATATATTTTTAAAATTTTTATGAACAAAAGTTGACTCGACAATATTATTAATGAATTTATGAATTGTAAATATTTAATTAAAATATTAATAAAAATTGTAATTAAATATAATATAATATAGGATATACAAATATTTGATATATAATGATATGATCGAAAAAATTCTATTCTTTATATTATGTCTTTTTTGACAAATCTACAGTTAAGAACATGTGAAAGAACAAGATAAAGTTTTAAAAAAATATAAAATATAATAAATAATATGAATAATAACTAAGTTGTGACACGTACTAATAAATATAAAACAAACTAATAAACAAAAATAATATAATTAATATAACTAAATATAAACCTTCAAAAATAACTTACCGATGTAATTGAACTGAATTGTTAAACGATTGTTAGTTTTCTGTTCTTATTAATTTTATGTGTAAATTTGAGGTGATAGACAATAGTTATTTGTACATTTATACATGTAGATTAGAAAAAAAAAATCTTTATATTCTAATTTCAAATAACTTTTTTTGTTTACTATAATAGTTTTCTTAATATAATATATAAGTATCATATTGAACATATAAAACAAGAAATATTTTAATTATATAATATTTAATATGTAAGAAATGTAACTCAATTGGTAAATTAATAGGTAATCTTGGGATAAAATAATGAGTAATTTCCGAAAGAAAAAATTTATATGAACTAAAAAGTTCACGCTTTTAAAATATTTTTAATAGAAAAATTATAAACACATTTACTCAATAAATACTACATAAAAAATATAAGAAATCTTATATCCTCCCTATATGTAATTAAAAAACATAACTTTTCTCAAATCAACATAAGCAAATCAATGAAAATAATATATTTTTAAAAATTTTATGAACAAAAGTTGACTCGACAATATTATTAATGAATTTATGAATGGTAAATATTTAATTAAAATATTAATAAAAAATTGTAATTAAATATAATATAATATAGAATATACAAATATTTGATATATAATGAGGCAGATGATCGAAAAAATTCTATTCTTTATATTATGTCTTTTTTGACAAATCTACAGTTAAGAACATGTGAAAGAACAAGACAAAATTTTTAAAAAAATATTAAATATAAGAAATAATATGAATAATAACTAAGTTGTGATACGTACTAATAAATATAAAACAAACTAATAAAAAAATAATATAATTAATATAACTAAATATAAACCTTCTAAAAATAACTTATCGATGTAATCGAATTGAATTGTTAAACGCTTGTTAGTTTTTTGTTCGTATCAATTTTATGTGTAAATTTGAGGTGATAGACAATGGTTATTTATACATTTATACATGTATATTAGAAAAAAAAATATTTATTATTCTAATTTTAAATAACTTTTTTATTTACTATAATAGTTTTTTTTTTTAATATAATATATAAGTATGATATTGAACAGATAAAACAAGAAATATTTTAATTATGTAATATTTAATATGTAAGAAATGTAACTCAATTGGTAAATTAATAGGTAATCCTGAAATAAAATAATGAGTGATTTCTGAAAAAAAAAATTATAGGAACAAAAAAGTTCACGTGTTTAATATATTATTAATAGAAAAATTGTTAACACAATTATTCAATATATACTACATAAAAAATAATGTTTGAGAGGACTACAAAAATTTTGTTATACTGCAATAAAAAAATTCAACGGTAAGGTATTCGACTGAAAATTTCAACGAGCATGTTGCTTTCATTGGCTATTCCAATAGAGTTCAAATTAAATTACATGAACTTTAGTGGATGTAAAGATTTCAATTTCCTGAATTTCTATTGGAATTTATTTTTTGGACCATATTCAATCGTTTTGAAAAAATTGGCATTGGTATTATGCAAAAATTCAATAGAAGTTCCATTGGAAAGATAATTGCAGTGGTAGATCCAAAATAATTTCATATTGGGAGCATTATTTAGTTAATAAAAAAAAATATACCATCAAAATAACATGTCATTGCTATTTATAAATTATACTTTACATAATCTATTACCTTTCTCATTTGTAATACATTTTAATAACGAAAACGCTATATGTACATAATAAATGTACATAGAGATGTACATAACACTCACATGAAGTGAGCTCCACTTGATTTTTTTAATTTTGGTAGGACCCACTCAATGTGAGTGTTATGTACACCTCTATGTACACTATTATGTACCTATACCATTACTCATATAAGAAAATCGTTATATTTGTTGTATTTTTTGTTGGAATTTTCTCATTTTCTTGTAGTAAAACTAAGACTTCAAATCTATACAAAAAAATGCATTATATATAATATTGTGTGCAACTATTATTATGAAAATTTCAGCTACGATAGAAATATAACACATTCAATGTAATTGGCGTTCAATTTATGATAAGAATTAATTTTTTTCAAAGCAAACAGGATACTTCGAAAGGTCTTTAATTATTTCATTAGTATTGTAATAACTAAATAAGGGGTAAGAAAGATGACAAAACTTATAACTCTCATTAAATCCAAAAGTAAAAATGCTGATAAAATTACTTAATGTACAATATCAATTGGAGCTGGCTAATGATAAATATAAAACATACATAAGATACACATATATTTTAACTAGAACTTTTAAGTACATAATATATATACACACACACACACACATATATATATATATCTATATATTCATATGTATATTTCTTTAAAAGTGGGTATGTTAATCTTAAATTTTTTAGTTAAGATTTTTATTATTTACTATCATTAAATTTTTTAATTTTCAAATACTTCATATTTTTTATTTATTACCTTTTTATATGTAATATATCACATCATTTATTTTCAATGATGTTTGAGTTCACCCATATATTGCAATATAATAAAAATAATATAATTATTTTATATTGATATAAAATAACATATATATATATATATATCAATACTAATTTAAAATAATAAATTAGTCTTAAAGTATATAATATAATAAATTTTATATTCAAGTTAAATCAATTTTATTAAGTATAAAATAACATAAGATAAACTTGTGGTATGTTTTCCATACATAAATTTGAAAAAATTTATATTAAAAAAAAAAAGTAAAAAAATGGGTGTAAACTTATAACTGGTCCCACGTTTTGGCTAGAGCGCCCAAATCCGATATATGTTTGACACGAGTTTGTCGTAATGCGGAAACTATGGCAAATGCACCTTAGGGTACAAACGAAGCGAAGCAATGTGAAGTAATAGATAAAAGGAAAGGCTAGGCCAGAGAAAGGAAATGAAATAACATTAGCTCTGTGAAGTCAATTACTGCTGCAAAATGAACCTTATAATGGTGGTACCATATATGTATTCACTGATTATGAAATGACTTAGTTAATTAATATTTTATCAAGCATTGGAAAAAATTCTAAAACTTTTGAATCTAATAATTCGTATAAAAAGTACAATTTTATCAAATATATTAAATTATATTTAATCTTATGTGATTATATTAATTGTAGCCTAATAAATAAGATAATTTGATACCATCGTTATATAAAACACATACAAAAAAAAACATAATACGTACAAATGTGCTTTAGTTACTTAGCAAATAAAATATTATTTGTCTATAGAATAAGAAACAAATAATATAATAGTAATGCAATGAGAAAAAGAAAACATGCTAATTTTCTTAGAAAAGTATGAATACCAATATTTACAAACAAAAAGTCTTTTAAAATTACTACTTTTTTGTTGGTAGCGTTTCAATATATGGACTCTGTAAGAAATTGGTTCTCATAAATAATGATCATATATTATTTATTTTCAATTTTAAATAATTAAAAAATCTAAAAAATCGTATACATGATGTATATTTTAATCATGACTTCATAATAATAAACTTTACAAATGACTAAAAGTATCGTCATATAATGGAATTCTAATTCTTCTGTTGTCAAATATTTTAACAAATAATATGCTTCTTAATATTTTCACATTATTTTGTTATATCATTGCAAAATATAGATTATATTGTTCGTCTATATTCTAGATAAATAACACTGAAAATAAAATTAAGGAGTATCAAAACAGTTTTGAATGTTAGAACTAAGTTGTCACTTTTTATAGAAATATTTATAATCTCATTGGTGTATTGTGTTTGAACATATGTGCAATTATTTTGGAGGTACTTGCAGGTAATGTATGATGAATTCAAAAAATAATTTAGCACCTCGAGAGAAGTACATATAACCAAGATTTTGGAAAGTCAACTATTATTTGGAGATAAAATTCATTCCCACCTCGTGGGGCACACCAATATATCTAGAGATAGAGGAATGTAGTAGTTTATACAATGATAAAAACTATCAGTAATTTTAGTGACACCGTTAGTTACTTCATAGAGATATTTATCCTTTGTTAGTAGAAGTACCTTGTTATAAAGATCATACGATCATGAAGTTTGACTATATGTTGGGTCAGAATGTTTCCTAAGTGTTTGAATAAAATAGGCGTTTTGCCAAATTAATTAAGAGAAATTTTGCAATAGTATTGATGTATTGGACTCCAATGACTATGAATGTTCTTATGAGAACGTTAAAACTAAAATGAAAGAAAATCTTTGTATTTTTTTATTAGGAATTTGTTTTTTTATATATATTTTTGTTGGGGTTTGTAAAACGTTATTTCACTATTTTTATATGAGGGCATCATTATGTTAATTTTAAATAAAAAAAAATCACATATGAGTTCATTTTTTCTATATTTTACTTCATTTATGCGATGATATGTTTAATAAATAAATTAATTTATTTTATAAACTTACTTCACGAAAATCATTCGACACCACGTGCATCGCACGTGCAATTTACTAGTCACAGAAAAGACCCACTGGTGCTTAAGAATCACTACTACCTTTTTTTCCGCACTTATTTTAAAGCCATTTCAGGGTAATTTGTTAACTGAAAGAATCTAAATGGTGAATTTGTAATCTCCCTTTAGTCTAATCTGTATTTGGTTTTTATCGTTCGAATGGCTTGTAGAGCTGTGGCTCAGTACTTGCAAAGGCAGTCATCAGTTACCCCTATCGATGAAAATTCAGACGAATCGCCTGAGCTGAGTTTGGACAAGATTCTTCAAGGAAAGCCTCGAAAAGTCTGTACTCGAATGTTCTTCGAAACTTTGGTAAGTGCTAAATGACATATTATATAAACAACATTCGAATAGTATCACGAGTAGCAGCTTTGCACACTTTTTCAACAAACGAATGCTCACGAACGGTTTTTTTTATAACTTTGCAGGTCTTGAAAACTCATGGACTAGTCGATGCACGTCAAGAGAATCCGTATGGCGATATCACTTTGAAAGTGACTCCTAACCTCTCTAAGGGGAAGTTCCCTGTCTAAAGGTCACAATGTGTGATAGCTATTCATGTAAATAGGTAATTGTTTTCTTTAAGTAATAAATGAATAAATATCAATATCAACATTCATAATGTTTTTAATCACAACAAATTCTTCTTCTTGTTCAGGTGGCATATGTGTAACAGTTAAAATGGCAATAATTCCACCCAGGAAGATTTGTGATTAATTATAATGTTGTCTCCAGCTATTTTTAATTTTTTTTTAGGCCTTTTTGATAGTATTTTATCTAAATTCTTCAGTTTTTGTGGATGGTTAGTGGGCTAGTTTTCTTGTAGTTTTTTTTTGGATAGTTATTAGTGGTTAATTGTAAATTTGTAATGTTTACAGTGAATTTGATCTTAATTTTTACTACATCGTATCAAGTTAACATGAAGTCATCAACTATTGGCAAAACCATTGAAACCCACTTCAACAAAATTCAATGTTGAAATGCCAATTACTAAGTGCAAAATGTAATACTAATAGGTTAGACATGGACATGGGTTGCTCGGCCCGTCGACCTGGCATGGACTTAGCCCGTGACTAATAGGTCTGGGCTCAGCCCAAATTTTACTCGTGCTGCTTCAAGTTTGGCCATTTTGAACATATGACTTGTTGGTTTGGCTTGAGAAAAAAATGACGGTTTCTATTTTTTTTAAGGACGGACCCATATTGGCCCGTCGGGTCGTGTACCCGGCCCGTAACTAGGTACGAGCTAGTTTAGGTTTGTAGCTTTTAACCCGGTGCTTGTCGGGTCCGACACAAAATTTGGCCATGTCTATATTAGGTAATACTTTCAATTTAGTTGAAAGCAACACCTAAAATTTTCACAATTATAAAATTCAATTTACTAGTGTGGACACCTCCCAGAAAACTATAGCCTATAGGCCATAAGTGTGATATGAGTTACAATACCTGGAAGAGCAAACCCAAAAAAATCTGGCCAATCAGGTCGAACGAATCGGGTGGTTGACGTAGAGCAGCAGGAGGGTCTATCACCGACGAGAAGTATTCAGGTCGAGAGGAGCGATAGGTGTTCAAAGAGACAACGATAGGTCGAGCTTGGGTCATCGGATGGCCCTACAGAAATTCGACTTGTAGGCGTGGTTGGTCGTGTAATATACCATAAATGATAACACTTATGCTCAGAACATGTAACATTCTATCTCAACCGACCTGGAATTAGTCGCACCATTAGGCAGTCTAATACGAAAGACTAAGATATAAGAAAGAATCTTAAAGTATAAGAGCCACACGTGGATAAGGTCACGTGGCAAGAATAAAAAAATGAGTAGTTCGGGCCATACGGACAACCCACTATGGTAGTTTTAGACAACAAAGTATCAACTCCTTATATGAAGGAGTGAGGTATGCTCATGATCACATTACATTTTTTACATACATTTACATACAACACTTCATCCTCTTCACATTGCTAACTTCATTATCGAAGAGTCTTCCCAGAAAAACCTCTCGGTGTGAAAATTTTTGTAGTTCCAAAGGTGTCCAACCAACGAAGAGCTCTAGATCAAACCGAATACAGTCGATCGGAGTTCTTTTGCATACCAAGGTGTCTACAGTAGGGTTCAAACCATAATAATAATAATAATAATAATAAAGTATTTTGGTATTATTTGGTATTTTAGCATATATTTCGATATTTTCCATTAAAAAATGGATACAAAATGATATATTGACAAAAACGATGTTTAAAAGAGTTATCGAACTGCTGGTATCTTCAGCAATACCAACCTAAATGCCATAATATTTGAAACATTAAGTAATAAACATGCATTTGTGTTGCAAAACACAACGGTTAAACTCATCTTTAACA